GTTCATTCCCAAGAGGTCCCGGCCGGGGCGGGGGTTTTGGTATGGGAAAGGTACATTCTAACTGACCTTGTCCAGCACAGTTCTCCACAAACAATAGAAAAAAAGCCAAAATAAATATGTATCGTATCATAGTCCAGGGGTGTCAAATTTTTTAATTATTTTAGGGGCGAGTTTCAAGATATCTGTGGAGTTATCGCGGCTCGAAAACCCGCAATTTTGGTGTGTTCAGGCCCCTGCCTGGTTACTAAAATACCTCTACTGGTAGTGCCAATTTAGAGAGAGTGAGACCTCATGACCGCGCTCTCACCTCCCTCGCTCACATCGTTCGGGCCACTCCTAATTTAGATCAGTAAAGTATTAGAGTAAATTGAAGAAAGAATGTATCTTATGATTGACAGAACTTCTGTGAGAGTTATAATACTGGAAAGTAAATGTTTCTATTCATATTTTGAGTGGTATATAATCAATTTACACGGCACTATCTTCAAGCATTTCCTATGGATCCTCCTTAAATATCTATCTCAGTTGGTATGATAGTACAAATTCCTAGGCTCTAAAGCTTGATAGATATTTCCTGCTACACCTTGAAATGGCTACAGCAGAAGAAGTCGGTGGACACCTTGATTTAGTGGAAAATTCTTATTGTGTGCATTTTGGGAAGTGTGCTGGGGGGATAGCTTATTACTAGGGTGTTTTGAAAATGCAGTCACATTGACCAAAAAGGGTATTAATACTTAGGCTTACTTTATTTAAACCAATTCTTTATGATGTTTTTTTGTTGACCTACTGAAACCCTTTAATATGGAGACAGTGTTGCCAAACATGATTATTTCTGAAAAAATGCTACTTCTTTAAAATAGCATAAAAGCAATTTTCAAGAAAAATGACATTTTTTAAATGGTGGTGTGCCTAACAGGGTCTTAAATATTTCTTATACCCGTCACCAAGTAATGAAAATTACCTGGGTATTTCCTCACTCTCCTCTCTCTCTCGGGGTGCAAGCTCAAAGAAATAGTACCTCAGCTCAGAACAATACCCCCCCACTAGACAAGCCAGGAACACATTTTTCCAGCAGTATTTAATATTGGGCTGTTAGTTAAAATTTGCAATGCGGGTAGACCGTCAGAATCTCGCGATCTCGCGCTCCGTGAAAAATTTAAACATACCGGTTACGGGGAAGTTTATGGGTCTAGCTTCTGCCGTGTTGGCGGTTTGACTGGATATCGTCGGCTTAGATATTGGGCCATCGTTGAGCGAGAAAACCCCTGCAGGAATCCGGTATGGTGCTAACAGAATGTATGGAGGATGGATATGGGAGAGAAGACAATCCACTATGTTCTTTTTTGAAGGGTTGGCCAACCGCGTGTTTGAAAAATTGGGCTGGGTTTTCTCTCCTGCCCTCCTCCCCCTTCTCCCCACACTGCATGCTGGCCATATAGTACCTTTATTGACATCTAGAGTGTCTTCGCCCCGCACCAGCCCGGCTAGCGGTGTCCAGTAGGCTTAAAGTAGGTTACTGTGCTGTACATTTCTACGCGGCTGTAGAGCGCAGTATGTGAAATCACCGTTTCCAGACCAATATTCTAAACCCCTCAGCTGTGGCTGGCTCCGTCCCTGGTTAGTAACACCAGGACAAATGAGTGACGTGAGTTTGTCTCTTGGGTAACCCAAAAGATCAACTACCGTACCTCTATGGGCATTGACCCTGATGTGTGTAGTGCTCTCTCAAGTCCGCCGTCTATCCTGCCAGCCCGAAGCTCACCCCCGGATTTTCAGGTTCACGAATCCGGTGTTGTGGGTCCTCTGAACCCGGGTTACACAGGGCACACAAATTGAATCCAAATCTTTTACTATCGTGAATGCAGACCCAGCTAGAAACCTGAGGTAAAAGAATTTGCTCCCACCCTCACGGGTATGGGACAGCCCAAGTCTCCTGATGGAATGCTAGTTGTAATTGGTGCCCTGTAGATTTTCAATTAACAAAATATGGAGTTTCTGATCCCCAAGAATTAGAGACTATCCTTGATAGGCAGTGGAAGGATATTCGGGGCTTGTAAAGGAAGGAGCCAAAGCTCTTCTGCACCAAAGTCCCGGCAGCTCGCAGGGCACTGGTTTGTTCTCTTGATACGTAGCAAATACCAGAACCAGAACACATGAAGCATGCCCAATATTCAAACCAAGGATCGATTGATCTAAGGCCACAGATGGGAATCAGGTGGCGGGAAAGTGCTACAGATAGAATTTAAACAGGATAGAAATGAGATTAAACTTTGGACACTCATCCCCGAGCTGCTAACCGAGTGTTAATGCTCCTTGCTCTCATACTGCCCAGGGGACAAAAAAACCACCTGTATTCCATTGGACTCACTCCAACTCCTGTATGTCTCTATTACCCATTTCCGCACGCTGACCGAAATAATTCCCTGAGTTATCCTACTTTGTGGGTTTTTGGATTAAGTCCTGCTAGGCCGAGCTTTCGTCCACCTTAAGTCAGGCCAAGCCCTCTCGTTTTAAGCTCTTGATAACCAATTGCAAGGCTTGATGCGTATCTGTTCCCCTGTTGTCATAATTGGCACTCAGGGGGCTTGATACAGTACTGCGAGTGAAATTTCTATATATGATAATATCTTATATAATACTCGAATGTCCAGAGGCTAGCCCCAATGGCTAATGGAATGTTCACGTGTTGGTGGGGGGATACACCAGGAGGAACAAGAAAATGAACAGAGGAAACGGGATCACAAACAATCCATCTGCCGAGAGCGAAGCGGGACTTTTCTCTAACTGTTGCCCTCGATAAAACTAACTTATAACCACAGCCTTATTCCACTGAGGAGAAGAAGGGGAGGGGCGGCTAAGAAATATAGAAAAAAGGAAGTGGAACTCCAAAGCACGAGGCCAGACCCCACTAGCTAATAAATACATTGGTAAGCTTACTTGACACTTCCATCCTCTTCCAAACTCCTTTCATCGCTTCCTACGGCCTCCTGAGCAGTCCCCATCCAGTTGCTCCTTCTATTGGGATCACTTGACAGATGTGGACATTGACGGTAAATGCCGATCTACCTCTGAACCCCACAATATACAACCCGCGAGATATCCAGTTTTCATCTCAAAAGCGGGTAAGAATAAGAATGAAGAGACCGGGTCGAACAAGAGTCGGTTAGCACAATAAGTTAGGTTAGAATACTGGCATTCGGTGTGCGACAGCGGCTACTATAATGTGGTGCGGGTGGTCGTGTTGGGATTGTTGGACTGGGTGTGGGATGAAGGAGACCAAGAGATAGCGGGTTTGGAGAGGTCAGGTAAGCAGCAAGGGTCACAGATCCGGGTCTGGATATTCGAGTGAACTCCGCATGAGGTAATTCAAAATTTAGAAAACAGCGGCGGAACTCCTCCCGGGCAGCCGGCGGCAGAAGGAGATAGGGGATTGGTGAAATAAATGGTAGATTTTTTGGGGGGTGCGTAACAGATTACGGTTGTGGGGCGGTAGGCTGCCGGGAATGCGGCGGGTATAGGTTGGAGTCGGGATTTCTTGTGATAGTGGTATGAAACAAGGGCAAGAGAAGGAGTCTGTGAATGTGGGATAGGAAAGGGGGAATATCGAGAGTCGGTGGCAACTTTAGGGATTGGATATGAGAGTGATTGAACAATTGCGGGTTTCCTAGGTTGTTGAGCTACTTCCGTGATCCGGACGGGCCACTGCATTAGGAACTGCCCCGTGTCCGAGGAGAAGCTGCACAATCGATTCACGACGTAGAGATTTAGCTGCTTGGAGTGCATTGCCGTACT